AGGGGGGCTCTGTTCAGTGCTGGGAGGGGATTCTTCCCCCTCCTCCAGCTCCTCCCCCATCCTCTGCCCCCCATCGCCATGGGGTAGGGAGTGGGGTCTGTGAGCAGCATTGTCCAGCCTGACCTGGCCCAGCCGGGGTGCAGAGAGTGGGTGTAACAGAGCCACAGCTGGCAGGGGTGGCCCCTGTGGTAGGCCAGTAGGGAGTGCCCTTGCACTGAGCCACCCACCTCACTGCACCTGACCACCTACCAAACTCCAAGTGTCTCCCCAGGGGCACCAACTTCTGGTCAACCCCCTTCTTGGAGCACACCCACAAGCCTGGGGTAACCGCTGCCACCACCCAGGGGTCTAATCTCTATTCAGGCCCTGTGCCCCCTGAGTGCACAGGCCTTGTAGACTGTGAGGGTGGTTGACCCACTGCGAGAACTTGGGGTGCTTTCTTAAGCCTGAAGCACAGATAGTAGCTTCCCTTAGTCAGCCAAGCATAGGGAGCATAAGGCATGGCCCAAACCCTCTCCCAACAAGTCCCCCAAGCTTGGTATAGTGGAAAGCTTTATTGGTTAAAGAGGGTAGGCTTGGGGAAGGGTACGAGTACACCTCCTTGGAGTCCAACATCAGCTCAAAAAATGAACCGCTTGAAACCCTCTGGGTCAAGTTGTGGGGGGAAGGGGAGTGTGTGTGGCAAGAGAGACCTAACTGTAGGTGTATACTACAAACCACCAAACGAGGGGGAGGAACTCGATCTAGAGTTCACCCAAGAATTGACTGAGGCTGCACGTGCATGTGACATGGTTTTCATGGACGATTTTAATTATCCAGACATCTCCTTGGAGGAATACTCGGCCAAGTTGGAACAGTCGCGATCCTTCCTGACCTGTGTCGAGGAGCTCTTCCTGACTCAGGAGGTGCATAGGCCAACCAGAGGTGAAGCTCTGCTTGACTTGGTCCTGGCCAAAGGAGATGACTTGGTGACCGACTTAAATATAGAGGGAAGTCTGGGTGACAGCAGCCATGAAACCATCATGTTCACTGTTCGATTAAGAAAAATGGGATAGCAGGATTGAAGACTTGGACTTCAAAAATGCAAACGTTAACAGGCTTAGGTCACTAGCAGGCAGGGACCTGAGGCAAAAGGTGTGCACGAAGAGTGGTTGTTCCTTAAGGACACGATCTTTCAAGCACAAAGGAAGTCCATTCTCATGCGGAGAAAAGGTAACAAAAGAGCTGGAAAGCCCTCTTGGCTAAACAGGGATATCATGGTCCTCTTAATAAAGAAGAAAGAGGCTTATAAACAATGGAAGCTTGGGGCAGGCCCCAAGGAAAACTATTCCACGATGGCCCGCATTTCCAGGAAACAGATAAGAAAGGCTGAAGCGGCAACCTAACTTAGATTAGCAACAAGAATCAAGGACAACAAGAAGTCCTTCTTTAGGTACATAGGGAACAGGAGGAAAACAAATGGGAGTGCAGGGCCATTGCTCACCAACTCAGGAGAGCTGATTAAAGGCACCCAGGAGAAAGCTGAACTCCTGAATGACTACTTCACCTTGGTCTTTCACCAGACCAAGGGGAAAACCATGCCAGGAAAGTAGAGGATGAGCACAGTAGGAATAATCGCCTTCCTACTATTGCCATAGAATCGGTGTATGACCAATTAATAAAATTAGACATATACAAGTTGTTGGCTACAAATGTCCAACTCAGGATCCTTAAAATTCTGGTTTATTAGGCGGATTGAAACACTGTAATGAGTTCAATCATAAACCTTGGGGCTGGTCCCCACACACACACACATGCACACACATACACACACACAGTAGCAAGTTACAGAGTCAGGTATACCTATCCTACAAGCACTGGAGTCTGCCGTCGATGGCCAGTCGAGGCTTCTTTCAGTGTGGTGTTATCCTCCAGAAGGGGGTTGCCGGCTGGTCCTTCTGGCTGGACAGGTCTGGTCAAGTTGGAGATCAAGAGGACGCCCCTGAGGGTCACTTTTCACTGCCTTTTATCTGTCCTTGGCAGACTTTGGTGACTCCCCAGTTTTCAGGTTTGCCCAATCCAGGGGTTATTGACCCTCGTGGAACTTCCCCCCACCCTCGGTGGCTACTGGACGGCATCTGTCAGCCCCAGGGGTCGTCCGCATGTACGTGCAGGTTTGGCAGTCTGTTGATGAATATTGAATAGGGCTCTGGGAGTGGTCGATCTGGAGATATTCAGCCCAAAAGTTGGTCCCCGGCATTGATTAACTCAGGCCAGGGCTTCTAGCCCTTGATCAGTGACGTTTTGAGATTTCCCAGTTGTTACATTGTCTTCTATTGAGTTCTTCCGTTGGTTCATCTGCAGTTTCCTTAGGTGTTAATTGCTGCCTGCTACCGTGTTACACATTCAATCACGGATTCACTCACTCTTTCAGGGGCCAGCCTGATACAGGGAAGGACAGTTTGATTCCTGCCCTTGTTAACATTGTTACAATGTATAACTTACTTATGAAACTAAATACATTTAGTTGAAAGATGAAAGGTGAGGAGTATAAAATATAAGCTACAAATGCCATGGCACACAAATAGATAAAAATACCAAAATACAAGGGGAGATACAAAATGCGCGCACACAAATTTCAAAACACAATTCCTTATCTTAAAGTGAAAGAAAGAGGAAGGAAGGAAGAAAAGGTAGAAGAGGAAAAACATATCCAAGTAGGGGAGAGCAACTGCAGGCAAGAGGAAAAGGGACTTTCTGCTACAAAGTCAGCGGGACCGGATGATCTTCATCCGAGAGTGCTGAAGGAGCTGGCCAAAGTCACTGTGGAACCCCTGGCAAAAGTCTTCCACAGCTCATGGTGCTCTGGAGAGGTCCCTGAGGCCTGGAAGAGGGCCAATGTTGTGCCCATCCATAAGAAGGGCAGGAGGGAGGACCCGGGTAACTACAGGCCAATCAGCCTAACTTCCATCCTAGGGTAATTCCTAGAAAAGTTCATCAAGTGTCGATCTGCAATAAGCTTGCAGAAGATAAGATTCTGAATGACAGCCAGCATGGCTTCATCGCGGGCAGGTCCTGCCTTACAAACCTCATCTCCTTCTATGACCAGGTAACTCATCACCTGGACATGAGCGAACAGGTTGGCATTGTATACCTAGACTTCCAAAAGCCCTTTGATCTAGTATCACATGATGTCCTCGCAAGAAAATTGGAGGATTATGGTCTTAACTCCGAGACAGTCAGGTGGGTAAGAAACTGGCTGCAGGATAGGACCCAGAGAGTCGTAGTGAATGGATCTGTGTCCTCCTGGCGAGAAGTGGGCAGCGGTGTCCCGCAGGGGTCAGGGCTCAGTCCTGTACTTTTCAACATCTTTATTAACGGTTTGGATGTGGGGATGAAGAGCTCACTGGCCAAGTTCACAGATGACACCAAGTTATGGGGAAGGGTGGTCACACTTGCAGATAGGTTACAGTTACAGGTGGACCTAGACAGGCTAGCAAGTTGGGCGGATGGGAACCTGATGAAGTTCAACGTTGAGAAATGGAAAGTGCTCCACCTCGAGACAAGTAACCCCCAACACACCTACAAGCTTGGCAGTACCAACTGACTAGCACCATGAATGAAAGGGTCCTGGGGGTAATAATAGAGCACAGTATGAATATGAGCTGGCAGTGCGATGCTGTAGCCAGTAGGCCAAATAATACTCTGGCATGCATCAATCGATGCATCTGCAGCAAAGCCAAGGAGATGATTCTTCCACTCTGCTCAGTGCTGGTGAGACCGCAGCTGGAGTACTGCATCCAGTTCTGGGTGCCACACTTTAACAAGGACATGGACAAGCTTAAGAGAGTCCAAAGAAGAGTCAACTGTAAGATCAGAGTCTTAAAAGGCAAGCCATATCAGGAAAGGCTGAGGGATCTGGGACTCTTCAACCTGAGGAAAAGAAGGCTGAGAGGGGACCTGGTAGCAGCTTATTGCTACACTAGGGGAGTACATCAAGGGCTCAGTGAGCAACTGTTCACCAGCACACCTGAGGGGAAAACCAGGAGTAATGGCCACAAACTCCTGGAAGATCAATTCAGGCTCAACATTAGGAAAAACTTCTTCACAATCAGGGTGTCCAGACTGTGGAATAAGCTCCGTCCAGAGGTGGTGCAATCACCTACCCTGGGAATCTTCAAGAGGAGACTAGACAGTTACCTTTCTGGGGTCACCTGGCCCCCAGTTATCTTTCCTGCTTGGTGCAGGGGGCTGGACCTGATGATTTTCCAAGGTCCCTTCCGGCCTTACAATCTATGAATCTATGAATGACCTTTCTGACCTCATCTCCCAGCACTGACCCCATGCCATGAGGTCAGTGCTTAAAACAATAGAGGGGTTGAGTTCCCACCTTCTTACCTGTCCTCAGGCACATAAGCAGAGTGGGTTGCTTAGCAACTGGAGTGATAGACACATAAGCGAGAGAGAGGCGGGGAAACAAATTACCCCCAGGGAGAGGAGGAGGCTGGAACAGGATTCCTTCACAGCCTTGCCCCTGTGGCCTGAACTGGCCTTGCTCAGCCTCAGCCAAGGCAGCCACATGGGGCAGCTGGGCTGGGACAGGCCGGGCCGCGGGGGTGGGGCCACCTCTAGCAGGTGCAGCTTAGTGATAGGAAAGTGAGTGGAGTGAGCACAGTATGGTGGCTTACCCTGTCAGTGAATGCAACCTGGCGCACATGGCCAGAGGTGGGCCAGGCAGCAGCTTACCTGGGCTCACTTGGAGGCACCAGGATTGCGCAGTGGGGCTGGAATTGCACTGCCCCCCCCTCTCCCCTCCCAGCCTGTTGCACTGCCTCCTTCCCAGTGCAACATGGCCGCAGCCTCCAGGGCAGAGGGCCCCACCTGGACCAGTGCAGCAACTCCACCCCCCACCCTCCTGCCCTCGGGGAGGAGGCAACTGGCTGATGGGCGGGTTCTGGGCCAGGGCCTTGTTAGGCCATGCTGAAGTCCGGGGACTGGCACCCTGGGGAAGCACAGGGCCCAGGGCATCATCAAGTCACTCTTTGTCCTGCAGCCCAGCTGCACGCAAACGTATGTATATGTGTGTGTATGTGTATGCGCGCGTATGCATGTATATCTCGTTCTGTGTGTTTCTGTCTGCATGTGTGTGTCCAGTTATGTGTGTCTGTGTGTGCACGTGTGTCTGGTTCTGGGTGTATGTGTATGCGTGTGTCTGCTCTGTGTGTGTTTTCATGTGTGTGTCTGTTTCTCTCTCTCACTCCTTTCCTTTTTTCTCTTTTTTCTTTCTCTCTTTCTCATCACAACATGCTTAACAAGAAAAGAATACACAACAAAAAAGGTAGTATTATAGTTTTTTCAGCACTCTGGCCAAAAGCATTGCCTACCCCTGCCCTAAGGTGACCACCTTTTCAAAATGGAAAAGCAGGACACATGCCTGCCTCTTCCTTCTCTCCCCCACCTCCCCCCCAACAACGAATGGCATGGCTGGAGCAGAGTGGGAGTGGATGCAGGCTGCTTGCTGCAGGCTTGGGGCACCCTGCCCTGTCACCTTTCCCCTGTGCTGGCTATGGATCTCCTGCCCACCCAGCAGCAGTGCAGGGTACATCTCCACACAGCTACCACCCCGGCTGCTACCATGTGGGCAGGGGGTGCCTAGCCATGGTGGTGCAGCTAGCACGGGGCTCCCTGGGGCAGGACAACAGGGTGGGGAGCTCTAAGCCTGCTATGGGCAGCTTGCATCTGCCCCTGTCCCATGCATAAATCTGGGGGGCAGCCCTCTGGGAGTGTGCTCAGTGGCAGGGAGCTGCCCCCCTGCCCGTCTGGCTCTGTCCCGCTCCCCACCCTGGCCCCAGGCCTCATGCACCACCCTGGCTGGGCAGTGCCTCTAACCCAGAGGTGGGCAAAATGTGGCCTGTGGGCCGGATGCGGCCTGCCAGGCCATTCTATCTGGCCCGCAAGGCCCCTAAAAAATTTAGAAAATTAATATTTATCTGCCCCTGAATGCCTGTCATGCAGCCCTCGATGGCTTGCCAAAACTCAGTAAGCGGCCCTCCACCTGAAATAATTGCCTTCCCCTGCTCTAGCCCCTGCCCCACTCCCTCCCTCACCATGGGGGCTTCAATCTGCACCCTATGCCCCTTCCCTCCCATAGATTTAGCTGCAAGAAGCTGCTCTCCATGCTACCTGGATGACTTAAAGCATCCCAAGCAAGAAGCAAGACTTTCTTTGTGTGTTTTTGTTGTGTTTGACATTCCTACAGCTTATTGCTATCAATTCATTGTAAAAAAGTGTTTTCCTCGTGTTATTAACAGTGTATGAAATGTTACAGTGCAGAGCTATCTGAGATTTAATGTGTCAGTGGTACTAGATTTAATGCGCATTATTTAGAGTATGTTAATGCACATGTAGACATGCCTATCTAAAGTTTACAAAATGTCACTCAAAAGCAATTGAATGCCAAACTTTGGTGTTTATAATGTAGAACTCCAGAAACCTACAACTAAACTTCATTTTCCACTTTTCCTAGGCATTTCACTTCAAGGAAATGGATGAAAAGAGGCAAAAAACTTCTGGGGAAAGAAGCAGAAGCTTTTCTGCATTATCTGGTTTGGAAAACATTACAATTATATATATATTTAAAATAGAAAGTAGCAAGTGCAGTGCCCAGACTTTTAATTGCTGTGCCTTGGAAACTTTTACAACTCCAAAATAAGTCAGCCTCTCTGCTCATTAGTTTAAATGTTTGACCAGTGTAGAAATGGTTATAAATAATAGGGCGAATCTACACGAGATGCATTAATGCGCATTAGCCTGATTTACTGTGCATTACAGGTGCGTGTCTACACATGCACACCCTTAATGTGCATTTAAAATGGCAGAATTAGGCTAATTGCGCCTAAATTTGATACCTGAAAATGCAAAACACTGCTTCAATTTAGGGCCCTTTAAACCCCTGTGTTGTGCGCGCACTCAAACTTACCTGCCTCTCTGGTGGCAGGGAGGGGAGGATAGGGTGAGCTGCTGGTGGGCAGAGCAGTCCCTGGGCTGCAGGGGGGGCTGGTGCGTCCCTCTGTGGCAGCGGTGTGTCCGTCCCCTCCCCCCCGCTCCCCCCAAATGGCACCCACCTGCAGGCATCCAGCTCAGGCAGTCCTGGTGGGCATTGCAGTCGTGGAGGGAAGCACTGGGTCACCGCACAACTCAGGCAGGTAGGCAGGTTCCAGGGGGAAAAAAAAAAGATCTTTGGCGGAGCCTGCTTTCCCAGGCTGCTGCCAAGCTGCCTGCATGGGCTTCCTGCAGAGCCCCTGAGCTGCACGGAGCCCGGTGCTTCACTCCAAGGCTGTAAGGCAGCAAACTACAACTGCTCCTCAGAGTTTTAGTTTGCTGTGCCCCACGTCATGTAAGGCGCATTACACCACTGAATTTGCTACAGCAGCTGGAATTACTGCGCAATACACCGCCGACACATAGAAATACCAACACCATTAAAGCGGTGCAAAAGCATTTAACTCACTTTAAAGTGTCGTGTACACACTCCCTTTGTTTCATCTACACATGGCCAATGGCACTGATTTTAGTGCCAAGTCCCTGTGCATGTAGACACCTACCAAAAATTACTTAATGCGCATTAGCTTAATAACCATTACATTTAGTCACGCTTATTTGCACGTGTATATGTGCCCACATAATAATAAAAGAGGTGTATTTTAGATTATAGAAGTAGTTCTAATCAGATTGAAACTATGCACTCTAAATGTCGATGTTAGTTCAACCTTAAATTAGTTTTCCATGTAATTTAGGGAAAAGCCCTGTGGTTTAGAGACTTTCATTCAAGCCTGTGAAATGCATTTCCAAGTTTGTACAGGTAATTCATAATAATATGGCACTTTTACATGTGATCCGGGGTTGGGGGACCAGGGGGTACTTTAATTAGAGTGGCTCTGAAAGCTGCTCTAATTAAAGCACTGCCGCATCTCCTATATCAGCACCCCCACGCTTAAAAATGGTAGCAGAGGCTCTTGAACTAAAGCTCATTGAACAAGCTTTAGTTCAGATGTCCTAGTCACCACTTTTTAAGTGCAGAGACACTGATACATGAGGTGCTGATCAGGGCAGGGGACAGGACCTGCCTCTCCCCTGCAGTTCTTTCCAAGTCCCTTGACCCTAATCAGGGAGCCAGATAAACGAGACTGGTATTTCAGGGCAGGGGACCTGCCCCCTCCCCTGCAGCTCTTTCCAAGTCCCCTGACCCTAACTGGGGAGGCAGAGCCAGGAGAACTCCTTGCTGCCAGGGCAGGGGGACATCCTCCCCACCCTGGCAGCAGGCAGCCCCCCTTGCAGCTGTCTCCTGGCCTGGTGCTGCCTGCCAGCCCTAGGCTAGCACCCAGGGGGAGCCTGGAGCTCCCCTCAGTGGCGGCAGGGGTCCTTTGCAGGGCTGCAGGAAACTTGGTGCAAAGAGCAGCAAATCTGCTCCTTAATCCCCACTTGTGTAGATGTCTGCCCAAAAATGCTTACTTTGGAGTAGTTTAGACCAGAGTAAATTTAGGTTGGAGTAAGTGCATGTGTAGATGCACCCTGTGAATTACTGTTATTAAAGGCCATTTTAAGCTTAATATAAAGAATTCAATCACTGAAAATTATGTTTGTCTGCTACTGTTATAATAAAGTTTCTAGAATAAAATATTACGAATCTCAGAAGGA